CATCTTGTATCATCCAATCAACTAACTACAAAACAAATGCATTACTTGTAGAAATGATATTAAACGACTACAACTTGATTGCAATCAGTACTGAGATAGTTTAAAGTCATAATCAACATTCAATAATCTCAAACCGATATTCAATTATGCGAAAAGTTATATATCAATAAATATTCTCAATGGATATTATCAATTCAGCACGTCGAGCATCATAATAATATTAAAGCATTGCAAATAAACTGAAACAAAAACAAATATAATCTAAATACAAGAAACTTAACCAAACGTCAAACATTCGAGCTACCAACTAGTCGAGAGTTGATGAGGAGAGCAATGGAGTCAATCTCGATCTCGCCTACACCATAACAGACAACCAGGAACTCAACCGCTCATGGTGGTGTAACAGAGGTTGAAACTGTGGAAACGAAGTTGATCATGGCAGAAAGGAAGTAACTAACAGTGATATGATGTGAAGAAGGGTGAAAATGACTAACGGATAGCCCAGAACATGAACAGTCGCACTCGCCGAAAAACATTAATTCTCCGACGGGTCTTCTAGAAAATGGTGGCGGAAATGTGATCCGATGGTATTGATGGAAAGCTCTGGTGATGGGGAGTTCAGATTAGGTCTTGGGGAGGTGAAAGGTCACCAGAAATGAGAGAGATCATGGTTGGAATATAAAGAGGCGTGGTGGCGAGATGGTTGATTCTGACGGTTTTGGCGACGATTAAAGCTTGCAAAGGATAGATCCAACCGTGGGGAAGGAAGATCAACCACCAGGGAGCTAAAATGTCACCAAAAAATGGTGAAATCACAGCTGGAAGATGAAGAGTCATGGCAGCGGAATGCGAAACGTTGTCGAACTTAGCTTGATTTGCGGTGGTGATGGCGGTTGGTGACGATTGGTGCAACTGAAAGCTGAAGGGTCGCCGTAGGTTGTTGGAATCTGATCAGAGAAGTTGAAACATTTTGGTGGGCGGCAGCCACCCAATCTGCGACTATGCGCTGCATTTTTATACAAAATATGGCAAATTTCCATTTGGTCCCTACATGATTGAAAAGTGACAAAATCAACCTCTTAAAACATGACATTTTACCCCCTGAGTAACATAAATGAGACAAAATCACCCCTAATTCATAAACCACAACCTATGCAGTAAACAAACTAAGCCAACTCTTGAAGGCTTCAACTATTCTACACTGGCAGGCATGCAAACGTCTTATCAGGTACATTAAAGGTACTCCAACTTATGGTATACAATTCACTAAAGCACAAAGACTGACTCTAAAGTACTTTACGGATGTTGATTAGGCCAACAATATTTAGGATTGAAGGTCTACCAGTGGATGTTGTCTCTTCTTAGGTCCAAATCTAGTTTAGTAGAGCTCCCACAAAGAAAAAGTAGTGGCTCTCTCCTTTACTAAAGCAAAATATAGAGCCCTTGCTCAGGGGTCAACTAAAATTGCATGGTTTCAATCCTTGTTCTTTGAAATTGGTTTATCTCTTGCTGCCATTCCCATTATCTGGTGTGACAATCAGGGTGCAAGCTCTCTTGCCTCCAAACCTATTTTTCATGCAAGAACTAAACATATTGAGCTAGATGCTCATAATGTAAGAGAACAAATTTTAGACAATCGATTGAAAGTTTAGTGTGTACCTAGTGAGCACCAAAAGGCTGATATTTTTTCTAAAGCTATCTCAATTGCAAGGTTTGAAGCATTAAGAAATCAGCTGAAAATCCACCCCTCTAAAATTATAATTGATCACTAGGTTTTGATAAGTTATGGCATGTTGTAGCTTGTTTTGGTTTTGCAATTATTGTTTGTCTCGATTCTACTATGTTTCAATGTTGCTAAACAATTTCAGGTTGCACCTTGTTTTTAGTTCAGTAGTTATTGTTTGTCTTAGTTCTGCTATGTTTAAATGTTGGTTGCATCCAAGTGCTGAACTATTGTCAATCCTAGTACTGTTACTGATATTTCTTTGATGCATTCGAGTGCTAACTTGGTATAGCTACACTTGTGTTCTGCCATGCTCTGCCTTGATTGAACTACTTCCCTGATACTTTGACTAAAGTGTTACCTCACTAATGATTGAACTGGAGTTCTGGCCTACATATTCTATTCTGATTAGAAGGAGACTAATGCTTTAACAAGTTCAGCATAAGTGGATGGCTTAGCTTAAGAGGGGATGTTAGTAAAGCAAGGAAGACTGACAAAAATTCCCAGCTTAATTTATAAGGGGNTGACCCTCTTTTTGTTTCAGAAAATATGAAATTCGACAACATTTATGAGGTTAACTTTTGTGTCTCATTTGTCAAAACAATCTATCTGCAATGCCTGCCTGGTAGGTTTTTATTGTATTGTATTATTGAATATTGTTTCTTCCAGTCCGAGTCTTCCTTCCTTCCTTTTTCAACGCTACACGTTATTCTTTTCAGATTACTATTTTCAATTGCATGCATCACCATACACGTTGATACCTTCACCAACTTACTCAAAACTTTAGGCCAAGTAATGTCTGAATCTATTAATAAAGTATATACTGTGATTACTGGTTGATTCGGCGGCAGCACTAATACTTTCGGTGGGCCAAAATTATATTTCTGATAATGGCGGGTTAGATAATTATGGTTATGAACCCCACAACCATTTTGTCTGTAATATTATCAACCCCGTAAGATCGGCTAAAGGGAATTAGATAATTATCCTTCCAAATATGGGTGGAAATTTATTGTTAATTGAGCAGCATATATGATTAATATTCATTACAGAAGACTGAAAAACCACTGTTGAAGATCATTACTGATTCTGAATATAGAAATTAGAATTTCCCTGAAAGGGGAAGTGAAATAAATTGCCTACAGGGTCCAACTTAATCAATACACAATCCACAGATATCTATGATTCTGCGCCTGCTTATGGTATGATCATTACTCATAGTCTCATATTGGTTATCTATAATTTCCATCTGAAGCTTCAGCTTAATTACAAGTGGTTTGCTTTTTGGTATCACAATAAACACCGTTGCTGATTCAGGAAGGTTTTATCCAAATCAATAATTGATATATTCAATCAGATTTTATGCACAGATTGGTCCATCCAGGAGGGCAGAGCAGTGAGTCAGATCACCTAACACTTGAAAAAATTATATATAAAAAATAAAACCCTTCTTCAAATTGGGATGAAAAATGGTTGATAATTTCTTGGAATCATAAATACTTTGAACCAGCACATGAAGTGGTTAGACTTAGACATGTTTCCTAATGCAGTGGTAACCATTTCTTACAGATATTGAATTTATATTTCTTGCTTCTTGTTATAAATTAGTTGTTGGAGATGCGGTATGGATATTTGAACAAAATTTATGGTTAAAAGAGTAGGAACTTGATGAGAAATAATAATGGAAGATCAATGTCTTCGTGTCTCTTTTTAAACCATACGCTCCAGTAATGTAATGATAATGTAGAATCATGGTCAGCCGTGGGAGACAAAAGTAAATATTGCAATCATATTCTACTTGTAACCTAGCTTTATTAATTCTCATTTAGAGTAAACGACTGTTTTTCCATCCAAACAGTAATTTAATGATACTTTCTTACTTAAAGATTTTTAAAATATTATTTCATTATCTAAATTTATGTTCCCTTTTTTATTTTGACATCGTTACAACCCCATACCACCACTATTCTCTTCCTCAATCATTACCCATCAAAACCTCTCAAATTCTACCCCCACTAACCTCCATCAATTGCCGACAACCAAGCGTTAAGGGTTTGTGTAATCTCTCTCCCAAGTCAAATTCTGATCAATCCTAACCACCAAAATTCAATCTTCTACCACCAAAAAGCTCATCGGCCTCCCCTCTTCAAAAACAGCAATAGCCTAAACTAGAGTTGCTCTCTATACACCGTTGGAATATAAATTTGGGTAATAAAGTGATGTTTTAAAAGACTTCGAGTGAGAAAGTGCACATTAAGCCATTATTTTGGTGAATAAAAGTCGTTAACTCTTCTGATTTAATACTGCCTCTGTATTTAGGTTAGCTTTAACCTGTGCGAAACCTCGGGGGCACTATAAAATTTGAGTGATAATACACTTACAAAGAAATTTTACAAAGATCTACATACAAAGTAATGTGGCAAAAAATGAATGGAAGAGTAAATTTAATAAGTTTGACTTTTTATTTCACTCTTCCATTTATTTTTTTACCGCCTTACTTTGTATAGAAATCTTTGTAAGATTTATTTGTAAATATAATATTATTGATAAAATTTTCAGAGTGGACAAGCCAATTGAACTGGCCTCGGGGTCTCATTGTCTCAACCAAATCTAAAGCCCATCATATTGATAATATGGGTTGATATCGGGCCCATATAATAAAAAAAACAGAAGTCATGTGTGTATAGAAATTTAGAGAGTAAATTCAGTACACATAACTAATACCAGCCCAGAAAAAAGGAATGATGTAAAAAAGGCCTAGTATTCGAGACTTGGAACAGGCCCAATGATCAAATTTGATAGGCCTTGACAGTTGACCCATTGACATTTCCGGGTCCAAAATAATGAGACCTTGGTCTACTTTTTCAGCACCAGCCACAAACAACGGGTCCTGGTTTTGGATTTCGAATGCGAGAAAACACGAGTTATTGATAACTGAATCCTTCTCAATATTCTGATTAAAATAAGAAGATTATTAGGTAAAATATTGGATAATCCTGACTAAAATGGTGTAATAATGCTTTACTTCTCTTGAAAATTAAAAAGCAGGAAGGGGAATGCATTTTGGTTCAAACTAAGATGCTAACGTCTCTTCTCGGGAAAGTTAAACCATGGCATACATAATACATTATCTCGCTATTTGTATTTTCAAATTAACCTCTCAAAGCACCACACCTCACTCATTCTTTCCTTAACTTAGACGACGACAGTGTGAACAAAATAGCCTTCAAAATTATATGCACAAAAAGAAAGAATTGATTTCTGCAATCCCAGAAAGCCATACTTTTCTGCATTTCATATCCCTCGATCTTCACGTGTGCACGATTATATACATAGAAACGTACCTTTGATTTCGCCTTCACCTACATTTTCTCTCCAACAGTAAACACAAACAAAACTAAACCATGTCCTTGAGCCCACCTAGAGAAAGAACCGAAGGCGCCAGCGAACCTAACAACAACAACAACAACAATGGCGATACCAACAGAAACTTCCAGCTCTATTGGTGCTACCAATGCCATACAGCCGTCAGGATTTCATCATCCGCAAACCCCTCAGAAATCATCTGCCCTCGATGTCTCGGCCAATTCGTTCACGAGATTGAAGTCACTAGGCCAAGACTTTTCGTCGATTTCACAGCCTTTGATCCTTCTCCAGAAGCCCGCTTACTTGAAGCGCTCTCCATCATACTCGAACCTCCCATCAGGCTTTTCAACCGCACTCCTGATGATATCCAAGAAGAACCCTCTCGCGGCCGTTCTTGGTTCCGTCGTAGAAGCAACAACGTTAACATCGAACCAGAACCTACAACTTTTCGTCCTCGGACTTGGATTGTGTTTAGACCAGTGGGACCTTCAAATCCTATTGAACCAATCATGCGACCTACACATCCTGTCCCTCGTGGAGTCAGTCCAAGGGACTACTTTTTCGGTCCAGAGCTGAACCAACTGATAGAAGAGTTGACACAGAATGATCGGCCGGGTCCGCCTCCGGTACCGGAGGATGCCATCGATGCAATACCGACGGTAAAAATCACGGAAACACATTTGAAGAATGAGTCAAACTGTCCGGTTTGTAAAGAGGAGCTCATGGTTGATGGAGAGGCAAGAGAGTTGCCTTGTAAACATATATACCATAGTGACTGTATTGTTCCATGGTTAAGGTTGCATAATTCTTGTCCCGTTTGTCGCCATGAAGTGTCCATTGCTTCTGATTCTAATATTGATACGAGTGGGGTGGATGATGAGATTAGCGAGGATCATGAAGAAGAGGGTCTTAGAAGAAGGTGCTTGAGGTTGAGGCAATTGGCTTCTTTGTGGCCTTTCAGAGGAAGACATAGAAGAATTAATCCGCAGCCTGATACTGGTGGTAACTCTCAAGGACAAGGTAGGAGAAATAATTGAATTAATTGTTATTCTGTAAATAATACTACTATCGTAATATTGTAAATTGTGGCTCTGGATTTCTTCTTTCTCTTAATGCTACTGAAGTAATGTTGAATTTTCAGAAGTTGGCACAAGGTCGCGTCATTGCAATATTCTATAGCCCTTGTATGAAGCTCTTCCTCTTCTTGCTAGAAGCAAACTGTATATCTACTTCATACGGTTAAAATGTTAGGAATTTATGTGAAAATTAACTAATTATGGAAAGGGGATACCTATTTACCCTCGTGCTGTTATGTTCTTTTTTTCTTTATAATATCAATTTAACAACGGTTGAAACTCCTTCGGAAACAATGACCTTGAAAGGCTTCACTTGTGTCATTCACTCTACCAAGAGACACAGATGAAAAAACTGCCAGTACTCGCAGATCCCTGCACTGTTAAAAGAAATTTTTTTTTTTTTTTTTTTTACCAGGGGAAAACGTAACATATCTAAATTTTAAATTGTTGATCACCTATGTAATTCTCGACTATAAACGACCCTAAGAATATAATCAAATATATTTTAATAAAAATTGACTTATAACCCAATCTTACAAACATTCTCTCACAATTTCGACATGAAAATTCGTAATTAAACAAGTAAGACTCATTACAAGTTGACCAATTACAAGTTACACGCTAAGATTATAAGATTAGATTATAAATACAATATTGTCCAATATAGATTATGTAGCGCTCTTTAACCAGAACTACTATAATAATTGAATTAAAACAGTTATTAACAGTCACTAACCAATTCTGGAGTAAAGTTTACCGAGGTAAACAGTATAAAAAGGCTCAAGAAAGTACAATCATAAACCAGCAAAGGATCATGATATTTTTGTAACTAAGATTTGAATGATTTTAACAAAGGGTACATCTTAAAGCCAGTTCAATATGAGTATACATCTTTCAAAATGTTTTGCACCAATGTACCTATTAAAAATAAAAGTTTAACATTCAACATTTCTTTCCTTTCGCCTTTTGAGTTTGGGGAAGAAAAATAGGTGGAAGTTAAGAGGAAAGAGGCTGAGGAGGTCCATCTAGAACCAGCTCACAAATGCTTGAGTTAATCTGTATAAGCCATGTTCTCGAACATTATCTCAATACTGAAGCCCTACCAGCGTGAAACCCTTGTGTATATGCCGTGTTCTTGAACATTGTCTGCAATAAAGGATTCCCAAACCAGATGATATAATGAAAATTGTTTATAATACATGTATCAACCCCAACCAAATATAAATGGTAGTAATGCCGTGGCCCATGCTATATATAATACAGTAATATGCTAGACATGAACTATGTTAAACGTTGAGACACTCAAGTGTTGCTTTTAGGAGAAGAATTTAAGGAATAAGGAAGTTCGGTTTCATGAAATACTCACAGCAAGGTTCTTGAACTCTGAGCAACAGCATTTTTTTAATCTGTTGGCAATCTCAGTTCCAAGCTCTTCCCCATGTTCTTGGATACTGCCATCCTTGGTCTGTATAATTCAAGTGCTCAAGATTATGAAAAAAATTACTAATTAGGTTGGGAAAGAAGAAAGCGTAATATCCTACATACTTCTGAAAGTATTTGTGCTGATATTTTATCCAGAATCTCTTCCACAAATTTCTCAGCATCTGTAAACGAGCTTGAAGTATTTACAGCATTGGCTGACTTGTCCTTAATATTATGAACATTTTTGGCTGGCTTCACAGCTTTCTCTGCACCAACAAAAGGAAAAAGGGATAACTGCAGTTTCGGTAGCTCAATTAATGCAAATTAGGCGTGCAAAATTTCGGTTTACCAGAGAGAACTTATTTAATTCAAGCTTCATTCTTGCACTAACAAGAAAACAAATTCTTGTACAAGAAATTCACTTCTTTTTCATTCAGATAGATCTATTAACATCAAAATCAACATCATAATCTAAACAAAATCAGATCATTCCAATGTCTTTCCAACACCAAATTTTATTAATTATATATGTACCACATTCATTTTATACATGGTGCGAACATACCTGCCACCGGCTTGGAGTTACTACTAGCTGTGACATTGTTCCCACCAGTATTGTGTGAAGAAGCTGTTTTTTCAGCAGGATCTGGCAGAACCAGAGAACTAGATGGAACAAAAGCAGCCAGGTCAGGAGGTTGATCTTTCCCTACTGTGGGGTTAGCCTACAAAAAAATATAATGATATTCAAATGGATATCTTGCTAAAGAACTATGTGGTAAAATAGACAATAAATTTCAACTCAAAATTACCTCCAGGTCAACATATGCTGGGTCTCTACCAATTGATTTAAGAAACTTGTCCAGATCATTGGCATTAAGAGCTGGTAACAAAATATGAAATATCAGAGGCTAACTTAACAAACTAGAATTTGGAATTCATTAAGAAAACACCTTACTATGTAATGCAAATCTAGTACAATTACTATTACAAGAGAGCACTGTTATGCGTTATCCAATGAAGCAGATGATCTAAAAGCACATGCTGAGTGCAGTAAGAATCCTTCATGAGTAAGGAAATTCCATTACTCAACACTTTTCACAACTATGTGAAAACTCTTTTACGACCCCCTGAACTTGTTAATTTTAGTTAAAAAAAAGTTTTACCGATATAGATTTGAACCTTTGGCTTATAACTTTTTCTTAGTAGATGCAATTTTTTTTTTTAGCGCTCTGACAATTGTTAATAAAAAATCCTTAAACGCTTTCCACTTACAGATTGACATGTCATTTGACAGTGGGTGGAAGAAGCATCGTTCCTGAGTTTTGAATCCTTTATCCAACAACAGTCCAACATCTCTTTGCAAAAGAAAATTACAAGATATATTAGGTATACACTTAAGACAATATGCCTTGCTTTTGCTTGATTGCATGTTCTAATTATACACTTGATTGCATGTTCTAATTATACAGAAAAGTAAATAGCATAAAATGTCCTTTATGAGAAAAGACACTCCATGTATAGCCAACAAAAAAGAATATCAAGGTATGTCTACTTAATATTAAATAAATAACTCTAAATTTAAGGAAAGATAACAATATATGTTCTCTATTAAATTAAAAATCGAAAAGAGGAAAAGATAAAATTCAAAACCAAGTAAATGAAAAGTTAAAAGCATACCGTGCTGATTCATTCACCAGTGCGAATGGAGTAACACTTCCTAGTGGCACCTTGAATAGTACGGAAAACATGCAACAACATCAGACAGTGATCATATCCATGACAGTCCATGATTAACTATTTCATAAAAAAAGCAGTTGTATTCCCTAAGCATTTTTTTTTTTCTTGGTAAGAAACATGAAACTTCCCCCACGTTGAATCAAATAGCATATTTCCATTGCAAGTCAGGCAAAACACTCTCTCTTAACACAATAATCTGATAGACTATAAAGGAGAGGAACGCTCCAGTCCACTGCAATAGATACTACTAAGATTACATCTGTCTACTGTTTGAAGATTTGGTGGATGCATGGAGCAATTCTCATTAGGCCACAAGGAGTTTGCATGACACGTGTTAAGTTACAGTTGAGTTGATCAGTTACTAATGTAGTTGTTCAAACTATCTTGATGTAGTAATATCAGAGTTAATATACACTTGATTTAGTCATACATGTTACTAATTATTGAGTTGCATTGTGTCAGCCATGTTAAACTTATATTTAATGAAGATAATGAAAATGAAAGAAGAAGTCATGTCAACTTTGTCTATTATCTATTTTCTAACTGGAGGGAGATTCTCTTTGATTAACAATATTTTCCTTCTAAATTGATCTATTGCAAATAGGAATGTATGACAAACATAACATGATGGCTTTCGAAGAACATATTATATATCATGAAAGTAGCAATTACAGTGTAATTATCAGCTAAAGAATAATAAAGTTGACAACATCTCTATTTGCTACAATATTGATTTTGTTCAGTGTAATAGTTGGACCAACTGGATAACTATAACAAAACAAACCAAAAAAGCTCAATTTGGCTTGGTATTAATCAGTTTGGTTGCACACCTATATAATAGTAAAAAGAATAGGCCCATAAATGCATTTCCTAGTAAAGAGTTGAAATTTTTTTATAAAAGAATGGTACCTAAGCTGGTGGAGTGGTATCAAAGACATCTACCTACCTGAAGTATTTCGGGCAATGCCTCTTCAGGAGCCATCCTCAGACCTCCCTTTCCGAGACCAAGTCTTTGAGATAAAACTGCTCAGATATGGAGCCACAGCGAATTCTCATTAAAAACCATGCATTTATTAACCATTCATGAGCAAAAGCCAATCACAAGGCAGCACAAATATGTACAAGCCTTTGACACCTCAACATGCTCATTTAAGCTTGATACTATGATGTTATACCTTTCATGTCAACTTTTGTATCAGCCAGAGCACAGACGATATAGTACCTATGTTTCTTGTCCTGCAAATACAAGTATCTGGAATAACTGAGCTATAAATGTGATAGAACCATTAAAAAAAATGGAAGATCTGTGGCTAGAATAATATGCAGTTAAAACTATCAGCATCAAGTATTATATCATACCTTCAAGAACAAATTTTTACTGAGTCCACCTCCCATACTCCCAACATATTTTGCCTGAAAGTAAAGAAATTTCTTGCTTGAGATCTATGACTATGTGACATGTGCATGTGTTAGAAAAGATATAAGCCAACTCCCGCTTTCTCCTCTTACCTGAGCTTCAACCGTCATCACAACAGGATGTTCATGCTTGGAAAATTCAATTTTAAGATCCTAAAAGATCCAATATAAACATTAGTACCATAAAAATAAAAGATACTAAATAAAACTCCCGTATAATCAATCAAGAGCACTGCATAGTGGAATGCATGTGAACACAGAACTAACAAATTGTGTATTCAACTTAACATTACCATTTTCTAATAAAAGCCTGCCTTAACACTTCTGCAAATAAGAATTATCACTACTTCATAAAAGCAAAACCATTACCGCATTTCAATTCCCAAATTTATATATATCAACTTCAACCGTACACAAGTTCTTAATGTAAATGGGGTGCAAAGGGTTAAGTCATGGCTATGTGCAGAAAGACACTAACATAATTTAGCACTCCCCGAGTGAACCCATTAAGTAGAAAGAAAATCGGGTAGCAACAATAACAAAAATCAACCCATCAATTCCGAAAATACTGCGAGGAAATGCAACTTACAATCAGTATAGTACCCAGCATTCTTCAAAATGTCAATTGTCAAGAAAAACATGTTCAGATGGATGAATCGGTAAAGATACCATCACCAAAATGAACCAAAAAAAAAAAAATTGATAATGAGAAAAATCTCAGCTGCACAGCATTACCACGTTAAATCATTCATATAACCGCTTTATGTACAATAGTAACAGTTTAACAAACAATTTCTGGCACATAAACAATAAAAGCTAACAAAATTTTTATTACTCTAAAGATAAACCATGAAAAAATTGGTGTAAAAGCGAACCCGGATCAAATTTGACTCAGAAGCATACAATATGGTTACAATCTTAAAAGGGATAATCATATAAAGAGATAACCTGTAAGCGAGCAAGCAACTGTTCCTTTGAATAACCCATTGGTAGATTTTGGATCGAACCAAAAACCAGAGAGTTTGCGAAATTTGAGTTAGCGTAAACTAACAAAACGGCGCAGAAAAATTGTAAGTCCTGTTTGTTTTGGTGAGTGATGAGTCTGATGACTCATTTCCGTGCTGAGTAAACTCGGTGGGTTATCGGGTTNCAGTTTAACAAACAATTTCTGGCACATAAACAATAAAAGCTAACAAAATTTTTATTACTCTAAAGATAAACCATGAAAAAATTGGTGTAAAAGCGAAACCGGATCAAATTTGACTCAGAAGCATACAATATGGTTACAATCTTAAAAGGGATAATCATATAAAGAGATAACCTGTAAGCGAGCAAGCAACTGTTCCTTTGAATAACCCATTGGTAGAATTTGGATCGAACCAAAAACCAGAGAGTTTGCGAAATTTGAGTTAGCGTAAACTAACAAAACGGCGCAGAAAAATTTTAAGTCCTGTTTTTTTTGGTGAGTGATGACTCATTTCCGTGCTGAGTAAACTCGGTGGGTTATCGGGTTGGTGTATTTCGGCCCTTGATGGGAGATTTGGGCCCAATCTTAGCCCATGCTCGTTTTAAGAGTTTAGTCAAAAGCCTCATAATTTTTGAAAATCCATGTGAAAACCTTCTTAAAATGAAAATAATAAATTAGGGAATTCTACCCCCAAGGGGTTGGTTGGTGGTCAATATAAGGTTTTGCTCTCTTCATTGATTTATTGAGTTTAAACTACCCAATGGTAGATCCAAGATTTTTACCTAGGGGGAAATCCACGGCTCCTCTATTATTTATTAAACAACTAGTGAAAACTTTAAAAAAATACCAAACCTTAAGCAAAATAATAATAATAATATAATATCAAGAACCTGAGAGAAATAATGTAATAACACAATACTTTTCTACTTGAATAAATCTATAAAAAGCAAAATTTTGAGTAAAGCTTGAGCAAAACCTTCTTTTAATTTTTTTTTTTTTTTTTTGGCTTTCAAATATTATAATATAAATTTTCATGAATTTATTTAAAAATAACCTAAGATAAAGTCAACCAAAACTTAAATTAAGTTAACGTTGCGTTGACTTTTAATATGAATTAATAAAAAAATGAGGAATTTTCTTGGTATAAATATAAATAATAACTCAAATTTCCTTAATAATTTTGAGCAGTTGAACGGCGACGTTTGAAACGTAAGAAAGTGGTCGATGAAGAATAATGTCCTTTAAAATATAATTATGGTTTTAATTTGGAAAATCAAGTTTATTCTTAGACACAAAACACAAAATAAACTCACAAAATCCATTTTTTTCCCCAAATTAAAATAAAAAACCTCCAAAAAAATAAAAAAGCATGATTCAACCCTAAAATAACCTAAATTAAAATGAATAATGCACATACTTAAAACTGATAAAACAGGAAACGAAACTAATTGTGACACCTTAAGTAGTGAAAACTTCAACAATTTCAGTTTCATAGCATGAGAAAGAGAATGAGAGAGTAAAGAATTTCGGGGATAAAATCATAAAAAGCAGGTGGACCGGTGGAGAAAATTTTAAATTTTTAATATAATGTGGACTTGGAATATATATATTAATAACAAGTTTTTTGTGGGCGTAGATATATGTATAATAGTTCTTATTTTTTAAAAATCTAAGGGTGGGTCTGACTACATACATTAATAGCAATTTTTTATGGGTCTATATATTTATAATTTTAAAAAATATGAGGATAGGCCTAGTGGGTTGGATCTGCCTCTAGGGCCACCTACCACATTTGTGTCTTACTTGAAACATTGGACTTTTAGGGTGTTTAATAGGTTTCGGAGATTAGTTAAGGTGTGTGCAAACTGGTCTGAACACTCCGGTTATCAGGAAACAAATTAGGGAATTTTAAAGTATTATTAATATGTGTAACAAACTATTGTGCTAAAACTTTAACCATAGGAAATAGGGTGTGTGATTAGCATAAATGTTGTATGCTAGGATAATTAGTGTGTACAAATCATTGTTAATTAAATATAATTAAGTTTGTCTTAATAAAAACAAGCCCGGATCACTGAAGTCATGATCAATGTTGGATCTTACTTTCGTAATGCCTTCATATTCAGCGGCACCCAATATTCCTTCTTTAATTTATATTACTAAAACAAATTTATTTTAAAAGTAATTTTGAATGCATATATATACTTTAGAAAAAGTGGTATCAAATGTATAACATAAAGTTGAGTAGAAATAGCATTTAATACAACAAAAGTTGATTGGAATTATTCGAATATGAACAAATTTAGGGCAATAAATAAATATAAAGAAAAGGAAAAATCAAATAGAGAAATATTTGGACAGATTAATTCTTTGAAATCCACATGATATGTTGCGAATTGTAACATCAGATTTGTCATTTAATTAAAGCAGTGTCATGTGCTAATATTCATCAACAACTTCAAGGCTAAGTGGGGTAGTCATCCAATATGGGCCCAGCCGCAGCAACTGCATGGTCCACTATCTCAAATTCAAGACAATGGGCCCAATCAGAACCACCTTCAAGAGGCTAAATTCAATGTAGAAGAAACGGTGGAGAATGGGACCCCATTCCCATTAGTCTTAGCCTTAGACTTAGCCCTTAGCCCCCCCTGCACAAAACGACAGTACACGTGCAATCTTGGCTTGAACCAACGGTTCAAGACTTCTGAGTTTTGACCAGGTTCAGCTTTGGTTTCAAAAGTTTAAACGTTGTCGTCAAGCCACTGATGGGACTTATCATATCCCATGGAAGTGACTTATTATAAAATCACTTAACTTATGGATCGATTTAGGATTATTATTCCTCTCTTTTACAGTGTCAATCCAAGAATCGATCGTTTTCAAGAACTACTATAGAAGCGTTTGGTTGGGGGTTAAGTGAGATTACTGGGGTTATATCATCTTATATTATTTAATTACCATATTTGGTTGTCAAGTAATATAGGATACCGGTAATCTTTAAATACCAATAGTGGTTACTATTGGTAATATAAGAGGTAATCTGATTACCTCCATTTTCTTAGGTATTCTAAGATTACCAGAGTTATCTTTTTTTGTTACAATTTTATCCCTTATTAATAAAAATTTTGGACAATAATACCCCTACTTTAAAACAAATTTACATAAATATTCTATTTCAATTTTACCCTTGTTAATTAAAATTTTGGACAATAATACCCTTATATTTAAAATAATTTACAGACCATCACTCACCCAGCCACCACCACCGGCAGCGGCCAACCACCACAGACCACCGCTGAAAAATCGTCAGAGTCCTTGAAAACGAACGAAATTCCGTGGGAGGCTCCGGAGGCTTCGATATGGCCGTTTTCAGCCATATTGAAGGCCGAAAACGGCCATATCAGGCCAGATCGATGGAACTGGCCGTTAACAGCCAGATCCATGGCCATTAAAGGCCAGATCTATTCTGGCCAGGAATAGATCTGGCCGTTAACGGCCACAACCTGGCCGAAAATGGCCAGAATAGTTCTTGCCATTTTCGGCCATATCAAAGCCTCTTCGTCACGGTGAGGTACTCACGGGTGCTTTCGGAGATTTTCGACGNGAAGATGGCGACAACGTCATCGTACCTCTTTTGCTTCAAGAAGTATCAGATGCCTCTTCTGAAATTGAGATTAGGTTAGCTTGATCTACGTAAAGAGTCTGTTTAAACTCTGTTTTTCAGATTTCAAGTACACATGATTAATTTTTGTTTTTAAATTTTCACTTACTTTCTTGAGAAAAATAATATGTTGACATGAATTAATTGTGTGGTTTCTTGTAACGATAAATTTAATAGACCTTTCTTTCTTTTTTTTTTTTTTAACTGTTTCTAAACATGAGGAGCACTTTGGTTATATACTATTGGGACTTACATGTTGCTTATGAAATTAACTAGTCACATGATCAAAAGTTTATTATGATTTTCCATTTATCATGCAATGAGTTGTCGATCTTCTTGTGTGATCAGTGATGCATCAACAAAGAATAATATCTAATGAGTTAGCCATGATGTCCGGATAAACATAAGTTAGATCTTGAGCTTATAAAGACAAATAAACATCATTAACTAATTTTGCCACCGTGATTCACCGTCTAAATTAAAATAAAAAATTGAATTAAAGCATTTCAACCCTTCAACATTATTGTTTTCAAAAAGAGTAATGTTAGGTCCGCAGTCAAATCTCACAATATTCTCTCACAACCTTCAATATAACAGTTTGTAATGGGTCAACTTGTAAATAAAACCTATAACAAACTAACCAGTTACAAACTGTCACGTTGAAAGTTGTGAGATCAAGAATGTAATAAGAAGAAGTGATGGGAAAGTTAAGATTTGCGGAAGATCCTTTGAGGCATAAAAGTGCAGCATCATAAGCTCTAGCTGCGGCTTCAGGTGTAGAATAAGAGCCCAACCATATTCTTGTTTTCTGATTTGGTGATCTAATCTCTGACACCCATGAACCCCAACTTCTCATTCTCACTTCCTTGTACTTCTTTTTCTTGCTTGATGATGATGTTGATGGCATTGCCTTAGATATTGGCTCCTGTTGGATCTTCTGCTCAGTCTTCACCATTGTTGTATAATATAAAGATCAACCACAGTAAAATCTATACAGCTAATTAGATCCATTTATTTTAAGAAAAACAAATATATATGTACATATATGATGATAAAATAACAACACAAGAATCAAAAGCAAAAATTACACTATATCCACTTGCATATTTGGTAATAGAGCTGACCTCAGGGCTGTCTGGTAGTATTTTCAAATTACAGCTAGCCAGGTTTTGTGGAGACCAATTAATATTTATGTTCAAAAACATCATAAATTGTTGAAACAAGATTAGTCTTTTCCATTGGAGAGAAAATGAAAGGTCTTAACTTTTTAATGTGACATTCTAAGTCTAAAGTTGCACACAAAATCATTGCATGACTTTTTGTTGAGACAGTTAATTTACATTACACCAACTTATAATACAGCTTGAAAGTGTAAAAAAATTTCTGAATTAAGGAAATTAAAGTTCCACTGTAACTTTTGAGGAAAAGGCAAAATGAATCTAGCATTCTGGAACTCATATGCACCAATCACAGACCAGACCAGCAAAGAAAGCTTAATTATTTATTATTTAAGTAGCTTGCTCTAGACTAATATCCCTGACTTAAACAGCAACTCACAGGACAACCCACCCCAGTTAACACCCAACAAAGATATACATTAAACAAATCAAACTAAGAAAAAATTGAAATGAACGGTAAATTATAGATTTCACCATCTGGGTTCTGGTTATTTTTTCATCTTATGTTCTATTTTTGGGTGATCATATCTTATATTATATCCATATGGAGTTGGAGAGAGAGAAACATAGGATTCTTCCTCCCATCGGCAACTTCCAGGATATCCAGTTGATGGTTAATAAATTAATATAAAACTTTAGGCTGTGGGCTGTGATACACAGAAGAAATTAATTAAAACCAAAATCAATCATAATTAATAAACACAAAACTCAACATCAACAGACGCAGTCTAACAGTAAGCAGCCATAATTCATATTGCCTATGTATGCAAAACACCAGTCCAGCTGTTGCCGCTCTGTCTCGCAGCTCTAAAACCGCGTTATGGGCCTCATGCTCATGCAAATTGCAAAATGCGTCTCTTTCTGATATCAAAACTAATAATTAAGACAATATCTATCTTTCTTTCCTTTCTCTTACTGATATCAAATCAAGCTCAACTGTTCCATTCCATGACAATTTTTCTGCATAGCTGCTTACGCCTGCATGACTGGACTTTCTTCACAATATCTATCGATCTTTTCTTGAGAAATTCGATGGAATTCTCTGTGGTACGGCAAAAGCCAAAAGCAACTACTTCTTTTACTCTAGAAAATTTGCCAGCACACATGCTCATGCATGGCCATGGCTCTGACTCTGATATCATAGCGCGTTTGGCCATCTAGTCTAAATTCATCGTTAGTGCTCACACTTTGAAGAGCCTAGAAGGCCATTAAATTTAAGTCTACTTTCCATTTGACCAAAGGGTTTTGTCGACTTTCCAGCACAAATCCATGCAAAGGCTATTGATGCTTGTGAAAGTGCAAGATCAAACTAATTATATATACTAAGGGCATCTCCAACCCAGCGCCAAAACATTAAAAATAGTGTCAACAAAATACTCCAACCCAATGCCAAACACTACACCAAATTGGTGTGACACTGTTTAAACAGTATAGGCTTCGTTTGGTTGAATTTTGGGAATACTACTTTTAGTATTCCCAAAAAAGTTAAACAGTAAAATACCCAAAAACTCACAATATTATTCAACTTTATTCAACATTTTTTAAACCCCCTAAATTTGTTAATTCAATTAAATACCCCTAAATATTTTTAATGTTTTTGTTACGGCGACTCCGGCCACCCTCCGGCGGTGGTGGCCGGTTGTCCGTATTTGAGGGTGGATTGAGGGTGTTTTTGTTAACTTTTAATGTTTTATTATAAGGGGTGTTTTGTAAAAAAACAAACATAGGGGGTATTTTAAATTTGTTAATCTACATCGTAATACCCGCCCAATTCAACTTTTTTTTTAACTTTTTTCAAAAAACTTTTCCCAAAAACATAAAATTGTGAACCAAACGGAGCCATAATTTTTTTTTATTTGTATTTATATTAATTTGATTATTATTTATATTAATATTTATAATAATAAATTCATAATAATTATATAATTAAAAAAATGATGAAAAATTAAAAACAAAACTTTATTGAATACAAATATTAAACTACAATAACTCAAAATAAAAATTAACACTAATTTAAAAACACTAAAATTAAAAGAAAATACAACATAAATTAAAATAATTAGTGAAATAGATTAATTATTAATTATTACATAAAAAGAAAAAGAAAGAGAATATTATTTTTAGTGTAATATTTGATGTAATGGGTTAGAGATGTAATAGTAAAATATACAAAAAAATCACGAAACTTCCACTAACTTGGTGTTAGTGGTTGGAGATGGTCTAAATAGTTAACCAAGTCTCCCATGGACTAAGTTCAAGTATCATAAAAATTATTTTTTGTTTCACTGGGAGTAGGATAAACCGATAAAAAATTTCAGAGGCAATTCAACGGTCAAATTTCCTGTTACTTTTCCATGGCAGGTATGGGATTGGGATATGCGATAAGATATCTGTCTGACTGTGACTGTGATTGTGCATTCAAACTTACAGCGTTTACCTTTAGTTCCCCCTATATTCATATTTCGCTGTCAATGGCATGCACAAAAACGTGTCATTTTATGAGTTTCCAAGAATGCTCTATTTCATATGCTAAATTGTCAAGAAGCAGCTGTATACTGATTAGCTTAGAGTCGATATTTCAAAATTTAAAATGTAATCCAATAGCTTATGTTATATACTTATATATAACATAAGCTATTGGATTACATTTTCCAGATTTCCCAATTTGGTCGGCAATTAAATACAAATACCTGTAAATTTGAGTAAATTTCAATCGACCACCTTGTGTGTAAACTCAATTTCTTAACTGGTATTGATTTAATCAAATACCAAATCAAGGAAAACAACAACAACATGAGAGAGAGAGAGAGATTGCTATGTGTACAAAGGATTGCTCATTCCAAGGATAATACATGTGTGAAAAGAATAGTGTCGTCAATCCGTACGAGCCCTCCTCCCTCCTCCCTCCTTCCTTCTTATGGGAAGTGGGAACACAATCAATTAAATTATATAAGAATCACAACAAGGCATCTTATAATAAAATATTTCTTTAAATTAGACTGTCTATTAATTTCTAAAATAATTACTATGAATAAATATTCTATCAGGTGGCTGTCAGTCCGATTCTCCCTAAGTATTCAGTTGATTTTATATTGCTACTCATCACATGTTCAGGCCACACTTCCTCATTTTTTTATACTAAAATCTGTCAGATTTTTAGGAATGAAACAATAACTTTGCTTGATGGAAATGAGAAGGAAATTTCATTTTCATAATAGTGGTCAATTTCCCAATGGCACTACCTACCGCTTTTAAGAGCACTACCCTGGGCTGTGAGCAATGACTTTCGTTTAATATTACCTAGTAAAAAATTATTAAAACTGTAATTATAATGGGAAAACTTTGTTTTCTAATTTCTATGTTTTTGTCAGTTTCCAACTGTGTAAAAACTAGAAGCCGAGTGACTTTTCATTTACAGATTCTAAACAAGGGAAATTCACTTTTAGTCTTCTATTATAGTTTGAATGAATTCTTAGTATTAGGTGAGAAAAAAACTTTGGTTCTTAATTTCTTTACTGCAATACTGGTTCGGTTCTTTCTACATAACAGTATAATAAGACTTTTAGTGTCCGAAGTATGTGAATGAATAATATTGTGATACAAATGTGATAGATGGTCACTTGGTGGAATTCGAACACAAAACCTTTAAGTAACCTAAGATTTTGCCATCATGTTTATAATCTACTTTTAAAGCTTTATATATATTGGATTTATTATAATTTTTTTTTTTCTTTTGGTAATCAGGGTGTTTGGATTAATTAGTTTGCGTGTATTTTAACTAATCCTCAAAGCTCATTAAACACTTTATAGGCCACAAATATGATAAGTAGTCCCAAGGTAGTTTGAGCACAGAAAACTAATGAAGGGAACAAACCTTCTTGACTACCAGGCTAACCTCTTGAGGTTGATATATCATAATTCTTGTAGTGGAGGGTTAGCCCGTGGATTCTGATCCAAGGATGAACTAGTAACATAATATTCCTTTTGCACTAAATATACTTTCTCTCAGGCAAAAATCTTAAGAGCTCGCCCACCTACTAGAGTCCCCACATGATGATTAAACTACATGACCATAAATGAATATGCATGCATGCATGAATTTTGCTGCTGCTTCATCATCTTCTTCTCCTTTCTCATCTGTAAGTATATATCAATAATAATATCTTATCTATTACATTAATTAACTAAGAAAAATTTAGACCATCTCTGAACTGGCACCGTACCCGTAACTGATACCTTCCGTACCTCGCATTTAAACCAAAGTAAAATACAATAATTTGGAGTCCGTATTAAAAGGTGTTGAGTCGAGCCAGCGGGAAGTAGGGTCAGTTTGTTGAGGCTAAAACCAGATGGCATAGAAGACTATTGTCACTTTGCAATTAATATAGAAATGGGAAAAATGAGGGAGTAAGGATGGGCGAAAGTGCGAAGAAGGTTTTCTAGTATATATGCTGGAGGATGAAGAGGCAAGATCCATGTGGGTAAGAATCAAATCTCTTTTATATTTTTCTGTTTTCATCCATCATCCTTCAAAAGATAAGAGAAACTTCCAGGAAAATAACTTCAACAACTACACAACTACTATATTTTATCCATACTAAATGGCTCACGTAATCATGTTTTTCATTTTCATTTTTTTTTTTGAGCAAACTGGTTGACTCGAAAGGTAAAAGATGAGTTCTATAGTCTTGTTCACGGGAAAGTATTCGAAATTGTTCTCAGCAACTGTGGTTACTTTTTAATTATGTGTGTTTGAGGATTCTAATATGTTGTTAAT